TTTCCACTTAGTCACTCTTCCTTCCACTTTTCTACATACCCACTCTTTCCTCCACTATTCCACTTAGTCAATCTTCCTTCCACTTTTCTACTTAGCCACTCCTTTATTCCACTTTTCTACTTAGCCACTCTTCCCTCCAATTTTCTATTTAGCCACTCTTTTATTCAACTTTTCTAATTAGCTACTCTTTCCTCCACTTTTCCACTTAGCCACTCTTCCCTCCACTTTTCCACTTAACCATTTTCCCCTCCACCTTACCACTTTATCACTCTTCCCTCCTATTTTCTACTTATCCACTCTTTTATTCAAATCTTCTTTTTAGCCACTCTTCCCACCACTTTTCCACTTAGCCATTTTACCCTCCAATTTTCTACTTAATCACTCTTCCCTCTAATTTTTCACTTAGCCACCCTTCCCTCCACTTTTTCACTAAGCCATTTTTCCCTCCACTTTTTCACTTCGCCACTCTTCCTTCCACTTTTCCACTTAGCCACTCTTTCCTCCATTTTTCTACTTAGCCACTCTTCTATTCCATTTTTCTGCTTAGTCACTCTTCCCTCCACCTTTCCACTTAATCACTCTTCCCTCCAATATTTCACCTACCCACTCTTCCCTCTAATTTTTCACTTAGTCACTCTTCCCTCCAATGTTTCACTTAGCCACTCTTTCCTCCACTTTTCCACTTAGCCACTCTTTCTTTCGCTTTTGTGTCGCTTGGCCTGGCTGGCACTGATATTTTATTCCCTCTCCTAAGTCAGGGCCAGCTAAATCCCCTCGATCGGCCTAGCTGGACTAGCTATGGACTAAGTTCTATTGCAGAATACCAAATCGGCCAGCATTGTTGGTCTAATCTGATTGAAAAAGAATGAATACACCTCATTTACTTCGTCAATTGCCTCTCTTGACGAGTTGTAATTTGAGGTTACGAATGGCAAGGCTCTCGGGCGAAGCCGAATACGATGCCGTCGAAAAGTCTGGAAATCTTCTGACTCGGGAAATTATCATGCATACTATAGACTTCCTCTACATCTTCCTGCCAATATGACCAAGTTGGGTAAACAAGGTCAAACAACTTCTATCGTTAAGATAGTTTCCTACCTTCATTTGACCAGCGTGAAAGAACTATTAAATTTACAAAGGAATTAGAAGAAAATAGGAAATTACCTTTTTGTACGTTAGGGTTATTAAGGAAAAGGGTAGGCTAGGCAGAGATGTTTATAGGAAACCAGCATATGCCGGTTTTGTCCTCACATCTCTTTCTAGCCATAGGTACAAAACTGCGGTTAGAATTTTAAAATATATTATTACTAGTAGTATGAAGCGTGCCGATGAAATTCAATTGACCGAAGAGCTAAGAAGACTGAAAGTTTCAGTCCTGGAGATTAATTATACTTTGGGATTAATTGATAATATTATAACCCTAATAGGGAATTAATTTTCAGACAAAGACTGTTTGGTCAGAGGCAAGCCGAGAACCTTTCTCACGTTCTAATCTTGCCGTCATGTTTTCTTCCCCTAGAAGATGGGAGAACTAGTGAGGAATTGGGGGACAAAGACAATTTTCAAAGAATCTCTTACACTTTCTTCGGTTATACCTTCTTTTAGAGAGAAATATGACTCACTCTCAAGATCCGGTTGTTACAAATTTGTAGGCTGTTTTGGTTGATCTTATGTTGTTGATAGCTGTCGGCTGATCCGCCAAAGATTAGCGGTGCATGAAAATGCTTATAAAAGCAGCTGGGTCGAAAGGTCAGAATCGACGAAACACATGACGGAGACTGGACATGAAAAAGAATGGTCGCGTGCGCAGAGGTTTGCTGATTATGGTATGTCTGCTGCGACACGCAAGATGAGATATGCTATCAAAATTAATAGATTAGGGAATACGTTGAATGTGCGAAATGTTGGTAGAAAAGTGATTAAGAATTACTTATGCTTGATTGAAAGATTGAAGGAGAAAGAGAGTGTTGAGCCGCAGCCCAAAAGAAGACGACTCAACTTGTCAGCTGAGTGAAGATTACAACCAAATTAACACTCGTTCAAAAGACATGTCAAGCTCATCAGCCAAAACAGACGTGCGGGGCTACACAATCCCAGCCAAACTTCTCCTTCTGTCATTTAACCTGTCATGACCCAAATTAATGGGTTCTGACTGGTGGTCTCGTAGCTTGACTTTCACGTGTACACACTTACATCGCATTACTTTAATCAAGGTTACTCACGGACTAACGCAATCTCAATCATCTGTTTTTCTTTACTTTTTCCTTGGGTCATTAAGCCCTGACGACCCGGGGCAGATGTTAATCTTTTGATAATTACTCTGAGCTATGACCGGTTTTGCGTACAGCCATTAACACATAGATACACACAGAGACACTCGGATTAAGCAAACCTCCATATATCCATCTATATAGTCAATTTCGTTCGCAACGGGTATGTATATCTTTGTGGTTAACCTCTGCTAGACACAGACTTCCTATTATCATTGATTTCATAGCTCCCGTTTCAACATTATAAGTATGATTGGATAAGTAATTAATAATGAAATTCACGTGTGTGGATTTCTACCCAAATTTTTACCTTCATTGCTCATTAATACATCCAAAACAGGCGATTACCTTGCCAATTTTATCTCCATAGTAAGTATCATATTGACATATATTTTATTTATTAATTCAAGGAATTCGCCCATACTATCTTTGCCATGTTGCAAACGGCAAAGTAATCGCTCATGTAACGAACCAATAACTTGGGAACCAGGAGTGCCTCGTAAAATGCACGAACTTCTAATTGGGGGGGCGGGCGGCTGAAATGGGGGCTAAACAAGATCCGATAGTCAAGCTTCGTGTTTGATATTAAAACTTACTATTGAAGGCGAAATATGCAGTATTCCTGACCAAATTGACTAATCTAATGATTGAACGTTTGCCTAACTTTTTTACTTTTATGCTCTCAGGTTGTGGATGAGTTGAATCTATTTAATTCCTTAGCAATAGAAAAAGCATGTCACAATAAGTCACTATGGAAGTCTTCAAACTCCCGTTTTTCTTCACATCTTTTAAGTTATGCAGACTTCAAGGGATTCATATGAATATGAATAGGGTGGCAAATTATTTGACTATTTCTGAATTTGCATCTAAGCTCGCTTATTCAGATGGTCTAAACTGGTCTTAACAACCTCGAGCTGATAGAAATATCACTTTTTGTTTCATAAAGTGTTAGTTTGAATTTATCTAATTTACTTTTCTCCGCTATATTACATTATTCTGTAGACTTCCATCCTTCACAGTCGCCTTGATCTCAACCATGCTAGCAGCCAAACAAATCTTCCACTCGCAGCGTTGCCAAGGCCGGTATTTTCGACCCCTTCCTTTTCAGCAAAAAGGGATAATTCATCTTCAGCCTCATCTGTTGCCATCACTGGCTATCGCGAGTCGGCGCCCTCCCCCCTCTTGTATGCCCATTCCAGCTCGTCTTCCAGCACTTATGGCACCGAATCCACTTTGACTAACAACGCCGCAAGTCCGGCCCGATCAGAGGTCATGGACACCAACCGACTCGTGTCGTGTCGGGCAGTGACAAGGACCTACACAAGACGGCTGACCAGTTTCAGTCGACTTGCGCAGACTGCCGTCACGCGGATGGATACAGTTAATGCTGGCCTACGTAGCCTCACTGAGGCCAATCAAGCTCTTCGTGCAAGCTTCGTGACACCTCGAGGAAAAGTAGACCAGGTGCCGCTGTCCAGGTCAGAATTAATAGTCCGAACATGTCAATCTCTTGCGTCTTGGTATTGTATATACCTTTTTGTTGGCTGATTTGGTCAACAACTGCTTGCTTTATCACTTTCAGAACAAACCATTTCGTTTGACCAAAGAGTGACAAATTCAGAGGCCACATCGTCATTGAAGTTTGTTTACTGTTTTCTGTATTTGATACAAACATACACATCAAAAGTTACCGTTCATAGCCAACTTATGATGAATGTACCAACCACCTTAGAAGGAAAATAATGTAGACCCTATTTGGCCTTAACGAAATCAAGTTTAGCTCATCTATTTAGACAGTTACAGGATTCGTGCAGTTTTGGATGTCTTTTCTTGATCATAAATTAATCGGTACACTCTTTCAAGGGCCCTAGCACGTATGCTTGCGAGTAAAAATTGTTGGGAGCACCGAACCCACATGATAGCCTAAAAGTATTCGGACGTTTGTGAAAAAGTTAAACCAAAAATAAACCAAAGACCCACCTGGTCGTTGTAGGTTATAAAGGGAGACGAGATAGTAGACAGAATAGGAACGATAAAGCCAGAAATCTCTTGGTTTATTGGATTACATGTTCGGATAAACTTGCCAATTATGTAAATTTAAAAACATTTAATATCCTTAAATTTCTCATTTTGACACAATAACCTAGCCTTATATCAATTAAAAAGAGTAGCCAATCCCTTAACATATCAGGGCACCTTGCTAATTTTAGCTTATTGGTACCGCGTACACTATTAGTACTTTAATTGACATTTAGTAGGTATATTAAAACTCAAAATAATCATTATTATTCTTTCTTATACACCCCTCTTATAACTTATATTCACTTTAATTTAAACCTTTTATTTTTAAGCATTTGACCCATTTTCTTACAATTTTTCGATGTTTTCCAATATTACACGCATTATTGGGTTTCATTTTGTGTAAAAAGGAAGGCGGAAAGTGTCCCCATCAGTAAGCAAAGAAAGAATGTCTTGCATGTGTGGATTTGTAGACTCCGATGAATCCGTGCTCAACTTCCGTCTGTCATTTGATAGGCATCGCCAAAGCATGAATAGATGCTTTAAAATAATTCACATATCCTCAAGACGAGAAAGATGACACACTGCTATTCTACCTACTTATTGTGTCCTCACTAGTTGAACAAAGTTCGGTTATAAGAATTAGGTAGGATTTCAGCTTGTTGTGGTGCCTTGTGAATGTTAGAAAATCAAGTTTCCAAGCTCGGACTGCACTGATTCATAAGAGTCTAAGACTGACGCGCTAAGGACTTCTTCGGACAAGGTCACAGCTGAAATGAGATGTATTCACCCTATTTCGTCTAAGGTGATGAAGGACTGGTAGTAGTATTTTCCCACAATGATATGAGTTGAGTTGACGTTTCCATTGAATTTCACATAGCCACATAGCTACCGTCCTGCACTGTCACGGTTCGACTCCCGCTGAGGGTGTTGATAAGACCAATGCGAGGTCGAAACTGCAGTCCACTGGTGCCGGGATGAAAATAACGTTTGGTAAAGCAAGGCTATGTGAAATTCAATGGAAAACGTCAGCTCAACTCATATC